ACACAGAGAAACCAAAAGAAAGTGGATGGAAAATAGTTGTTGTTGTTGTTGTTGTGGTGGTGGTGGTGGTGTGCCGTCGAGACACTTGTGACTCATAGCGACCCTATGTACAACAGCCCTAAACTCTGCTCTGTCCTGTACCAATCACACTGACTCTGACACACCCATCCCAATTACCCCAACCAATGAACCAATCCACCTCATTGGGGGCTTTTCCCTTCTGCACTGTCTCTCCACCCTACCAAGCATGATGTCCCTCTCCAAGGACGTGTCCAACATGCAACATGTCCAAAGTATGTCAGACGGAGCCTTAGAATCCTTTCCTCCAAGGAGCAGCCTGGTTTGACCCTTTCCGGGATGAATCTGTTTGTTTTCCTAGCAGTCCATGGTATTCTCAATACTCTTCTCCAGCACCACAGCTCAAAGTCATCAATTTTCCTTCTATCCTCCTTAGTCATTGTCCAACTCTCTGATGCATAACAAGTGGTAGCAAAGACCATGGCCTGTATCAGACACACATTAGTTTCCAAAGAGACACCATTGCTCTTCAGTACTTTGGAGAGGTCCCTAACAGCAGACTTTCCCATGGCAATATGTCTTCTAATTTCCTGGCTGCTGGTGCTGAGAGTATTAACTGTGGAGCCAAGCAAACTGAAGCTGTGAACGATCTCAATCTCTTCCCCATGAATCCTGGTGCTGCTGGTTGGCCCAGTGGTGAGAATCTTTGTCTTCTTGACATTGAGCCTCAATCCATATTGGAGCCTGCTGTCCTTGACCCTCTGTAGCAGTGCTTCAGGTCCTCCTCAGTTTCAGCAAGCAGAGTTGTGTCATCTGTGTAATTAGCCATGACAAAAATAAAACAAACAAACAACAAAAAAAATGCAACAAAAGACAATGATAAAGCTTAGTCTGCCAGTTTAATGTGAATGGCTTAAATGCACCAGTTAAAAGAGTAGTAAAATGGCTAAAAATTCCAAAGCCCATCAACATGTAGCCTACAGGAAACATACCTAACAAATGATAAAAAGATAGACTAAAAATCAAAGGGCGGAAAAACATATACCTAGCAAATAACACCCACAAAAAAGCAGGAGTGGCAATAATAAACTCTGATAAAACAGACTTCAGGATAAAAACCACCATAAAAAAAACAGGAAGGTCAATATAAAATAATCAAAGGCACAAAAGAACAAGAGGGCATAATCTTAGTTAATATTTATTCATAAGCAGACAGACCTACAAAATGTATATAAAACAAAGATTAATAGACTTGAAGAAAGAAATAGATAAAAACACAATAGGAAACTGTCAACATGACACTCAACAGAGGACTTGTCAACTAGGAAGAAACCACCAGAGCACTCATCCAACTCGTCTTTACAAATATACACAGAGTACTCTGCACAACCAAACATCAGTTTACTTTCTTCTTAAGTGCACCAAGTACATTCTCCAGAATACACAATTTAGTATGAAACAAAGCAAGCCTCAACAAAATTAAAAACACTGAAATAATACAAAGTATCTTCTCAAGACCACAATGCCATAAAACCAGAAATTATTAACAAGAGGATAAAGATTTTCTAAAACCAACTAAAACCTACCAAGGTAGAAACTAAATAATATCTTGCTTGAGGACTACTGACAATAAGTAGAGACTTGTTATCATGAGTCAGAGTCTATTTAATAGCAACTAACAAATACTACTGGAGGAGAGGGAAGCTTTTATTCTACTATTTCATCAGAATAAATTCCTGGAGTGGAGCTGTCTGTATAAAAGATTCTGGACTGCATATATTTTGCAACATATTGCCGTCTAGAAAGATTGGACAGATTAGTGTTCCTGATACCCAGTTAAGAGTGCTCACCACATGTCAGAAACTCCTAGAGTCAGAGATGTCCTCCTCTGTGGTCTGAGCCAGACAGTAATGCTTCCTGCCCTGGTCAAGGATAGAAAGGGCTTCATCATCCCTACTCCAGGGTCTCCCTATTTCTGTGACACAGAGTCCTCATCCCTTCAGAGACATTGGTACCCTCTTCTCAAAATCAAACTTTGAAATGCACAATTAAGACAACAAAAACAAACATATATCCCCCAAACCTGTACATAGATCAACAATTGGTGTTCCGATAGAACAAGGGAATACTGCATAGTTTAAATCAGGAAAAGTATGAATCGGGGTTGTATCCTTTCTCCATATCTAATCAATTGGAGAGCTAGACTACATTAGAAACTATGTGGCAGAAAAACTGGAGGAAGAAGGAAGACATCAACAAATTACATTATGTAGATGACATAAACTCACTTATAGAAAAATGAAGAAATCTTGAAGTGCTTGCTGCAGAATACCAAAAGTCTTTAGTATGTATTACACCTCAACACGAAGAAAACAAAAAATCTTCTCCACTGTACCAACAGCTAATATCATGACAGATATCATGAAGAAAACTTGAAGTTGTCAACAATTCTATTTGAATCTGCAGTCAATATGATAGCATCAGTCAAGAAATTAAAAGATGTGTGAATTGGGAAAATTTGCTGTCTAGGACCTCTCCAGAGTATTAAAGGAAAAAGGATGTTAGTTTAAACATTAAGGTGTGCTGGATACAAAACATAGTCTTTTTATTTGCTTCCTATATGTGTAAAAAGTGGACAATGGATAATACAATAAAGACAAATCAATTTTCTTGAATTGTGGTATTAAAGAAGAGTACTAATTATCCCAAGGACTTATTAAAGGGCAAGCAAACCTGTCTGAGAGGAAGTATAAAAACAGTGCTCCTTAGAAGAAAGGATGGTAAAATTTTGTCTTACATACTTTGGGCATAATGTCCCTGGAAAAAAACCATCATGTTAGAAAGGATGGAGGGTCAGAGAAAGGGAAACTTCCAATGTGATGGATTGACACAATGACTATAACAGTGGGTTAGAATAATTAGAGATGGTGAGGAAGACACAATATATGGCAAGGTTCACAGGGTCTCTATGAGTCATGATTAACTCACTGATATCTAACAACAACTGCATGGTTTAAAATGGAGAAAGGTGTGTGTCAGGGCTATATCCTTTCTCCATACCTATCAATCTGTGTTCAAGGAGCAGGACTCTATGAAGACAAGTGTGGTATCAGGATAGGAGGAAGACTCATAAACTCACAGTATGCACATGACACAACCATATTTGCTGAAAGTGATGGGGATCTTTAAACATTTGCTTTAAAAAAATCAGAGTACAGCCTTTAATATGGATTACAAGAAGACAAAATGCTCACCATTGGGCTAATAGAGAACATCATGATAGATGGAGAAAAGACTGAAATGGTCAACCACTTCATCTTACTTGGATACACAGTCAATAGCCCTAGCACCAGCAGTCAAAAAATAAAAGTTAAGTTGCATTGGGAAAGTCTGTCATCAGAGATCTGTCCAAAGCACCAAGGAGCAATAAAGTCAGTTTAAAGACTAAGGTGCAAGTGATCTAGGCCATCATCTTTTAAATCACTTGCTGTACATTTGAGAGCTAGACAACGAATAAAGATTACAGAAGAAGAATTCATGCCTTTAATTTGTGGTGTTAGAGAAGACTTCTGAATATTCGGTGGACTCCAAAAGTATAAAAATATGGCTGGGAGAAAGTGGAACCAGAGTTCTTCCTAGAGGCCAAAAGGACAAAGCTTTGTCTAACATATTTTGGGCAAGTTGTTAGAAGGCACAATTCCTTGGAAAGAGACATAATACTTGAAAAAGTGGAGGTCAGTGAGTAAAGGAAAATTCTCTATGAAATGGATTGACCCAAAGACTGTAAAAATCAGCTCAAGTATGTCAGATACAATGAGGATGGTGTAGGATAGGACAGATCTGTTGTTCACAACATCACCAAGAGTCATACTGTACTTGAAGCACCTAACAGTAAAAAAGTAAAAAAATCCAAACAAATCTAGCAGCAGGGTTTTGATGTACAAGTAATATTTTATATTTCTCTGCTTGTGCTTTGAGTGACATATCTTATTAAGAAAATAATGGTAAATATAATAATGTATGCTACTCTATGAAGAAAAATGTAGCATCAGGATTAAAATAAGACTCATCAATAACCTTTGTTATATGGATAACACAACCTTGCTTGCTGAAAGTGAGAAAGACTTAAAGCACTTGTTGAAGAAGGCTGAACACTGCAGCCTTCAATATCGATTGAATCTCAATGTCATGAAAAAAAATTCTCACCACTGGACTGATAGGCAACATCATGATAGATGGAGAAAAGATTGAGATAGTCAATAATTTTATTTTACTTGGATCCAAAATCAATACATTTGGTACCAGGAGTGAGGAGATCAGGTGACATAATGGACTGGGAAAGTCTTTAGTAAGGGACTTCTTAAAATTACAGAGGAGTAATGATGCAAATTTGAGGAATAAGGTGGGCCTGATTCAGGTCTTTTCAATCACCTTCTATTTATCTAGAAGCTGGACAATGAATAAGAGTGAGAGAAGAATTCACACCTTTGAACTGTGGTTTTGGGGGAGAGTGCTGATGATTTCATGATTTTCCAAAAGAACGGATTTGTCATCAAGAAGGTGCAACCAGAGCGTTCCTTAAAGACAAAGATGGCGAAGTGCTGTCTCATATACTTATATTGCTAGGAGAGGTTATTCCTTGGAGAGGGACATCAGGCTTGGGAAGGTGGAGAGACAGTGAAAGAGAGGAAGATCCTCAACCACATGTTTTTATATGGTGAATGTGGCAATGGGCTTGAGTGTGTCAGAGATGCTGAGAATGGCACAGAATAGGACAATGTTCAGCTCGGTTCTTTATTGGGTCACAGTGGGACATACTTGACTCGAGGGTACTTAACAACAAGTCTCTGGAAGTGAAATAGCAAATAAATGGTCATAAACAGCTTTTCATGTCCTCACAGACTCTAAATACAATTTGACAGAATTATTAAATTCAATACATTAATATTTAAGTGTATTTTCAATTTATTATTAACACTTACTAATGTGGAAATTTCCACTTTCCAAACTCCCACCAAGTGATGACATATCTTGAGTGCTGCAATCTGGAGGTAAATAGCCAGGGTTACAATGGCAATGTTTTTTATTATTGCATACCTGAAACCAGAAAAATATGACCTCAGAAGAGAAGTAACTGCAATTTTATATACATATATATATATATATATATATATATATATATATATACACACACACACACACACACTCATACACACACATATATATATGTTTGTTGTTGTTGTTATGTGCCGTCGAGTCGCTTGTGACTCATAGCGACCCTATGTACAACAGCTCTAAACTCTTTTCTGTCCTGTGCCAATTGCACTATCTCTGGCACTCCCATCCCGATTAGCCCAGTCACTGAATCAATCCACCTCATAGAATACATAACTTTTAGTTTCATTTCATAGCACTGGTACTTACACCTCGATCATTGCAATGTTTCTTTTTGTCGCAGTCATAATTCAAGTAACTCATATCAACACATTGCTTATCCTTGCAAACCTGAGAAATTAATCAGAAGAAATTAACTGAGATGTCATTGGAATTCCCTATCTAATTACATGGATTTCATTCTACATGGACATCAAAGATATTAAATAATATACTAACAATAAAGGATTAATGTGTAGTAGTATTAATGTGTATTAGTAGAATTTTTCAACATTATATGAAAATTCAGGTATGCAGGAGCATAGAAAACAGAAAACACCTATTCCCTATGTATAATGTGAGTTATTGTTGTTGTTATGTGCCATCGAGTCGCTAGCAACTCATAGCAACCCTATGTACAAGAGCCCTAAACCCTGCTCTAGCCTGTGCCAAGAAACCTGGAGAACAACCACTTGGCCAACTGACTGGAAGAGATCTATATTTGTTCCCATTCCAAAGAAGGGTGAACCAACAGAGTGTGAAAACTACAGAACAATATCATTGATTTCACATGCAAGCAAGATTCTACTGAAGATTATTAAAAATCGACTGGATCAACACATCTACAGAGAACTGCCAGAAGTCCAGACTGGGTTTAGAAGGGGTCGTGGTACTAAGGATATTATAGCTAATGTTAGATGGATCTTAGCTGAAAGCAGGGAGTACCAGAGGAATGTCTATCTGTGTTTCATTGACTACGCAAAGGCATTTGACTGTGTGGATCTTAACAAACTGTGGCTGACTCTGAGAAGAATGGGAATACCAGAACACTTCATTGTGCTAATGCAAAACCTATACTTGGACCAGGAGGCAGTTGTCAGAACAGAGCAGGGAAACACTGCATCGTTCAAAATTGGGAAGGGCATCCATCAGGGATGTGTCCTATCTCCATACCTTTTCAACCTGTCTGCAGAACAGATTATCCAGGAGGCTGGGCTCTATGAGGAGAAATGCGGCATCAGGATTGGTGGAAGATGCGTCAACAATCTGCGTTATGCAGATGACACAACCCTGTTTGCTGAAACTGAGGAGGACCTGAAGCACTTGCTGCAGAGGGTCAAGGACTGCAGCCTTCAACATGGATTGAGGCTCAATGTCAAGAAGACAAAGATTCTCACCACTGGACCAATTGGCAGCATCAGGATGCATGGGGAAGAGATTGAGATTGTTCACAGCTTTAGTTTGCTTGGCTTCACAGTCAAACACTCTTGGCACCAGCAGCCAGGAAATAAAAAAAAATATATTGTGATGGGAAAGTCTGCTGTTAGGGACCTCTCCAGAGTACTGAAGAGCAATGGTGTCTCTCTGGAGACTAAGGTGCATCTGATACAGGCCATAGTCTTTGCAATCACTTGTTATGCATCAGAGAATTGGACAATGACTAGGGAGGATATAAAGAGAATTGATGCCTTTGAATTGATGCCTCTACTCTACTCTAATCAACTCAAGGTGGGTCAGAGACCTGGAAGTAAAGCTCAAAACCATAAAATTCATGAGACTAACTGGGACCATATTTCAACGGCCTAGTAGTCTATGGTACAAAGAGAACTGCTAAATACAGCCAGAAATGCATAAACTGGAGAGGATAAAATTGAAGAATTGGAGCTTCTAACAATTAAATGCACCTTTCTTTTGATGTTTCCTGGATCATTCATGATTTTCCCCAGAGCATATTTACAAATTCAACTCAAAGCTTGAATTTGTTTTTTAGTTCTTTTAGTTTATGAAATGTTGAGCAAGTTCTTCTCTTTTTATTTTCCAATTATCTCTGTACATTTCAATATATTTTGCTTTGTTTTCTCAAGCTGCGCTTTGAAATTTGTTCATTTCTTTCTTTTCAGCATTTGTCCCCTTTGTTTTGGCTTTTTTATTGCTCAAGTGCAATATTCAGAGTCTCTTCTGATATCTATTTTGGATTTTTGTTTATTTTGTTTTTGTAAAAAACCTTTTGCTTTTTTCATGATTGATGTCATCCCACAACTCATCTGGTATTTGATCACTGGTGTTCAATGCTTCTATTCTTTTTTTAAGATGACTTTTAAATCCGGGTGAGATAGCCTGAAGATCATATTCTGGTTCTTATAGACATTTTTAGTTTTCTTCAACCATCAATTTGAACTTGCACATGAAAACTTAAGGGCTGTTCCACAGTCAGCACCTGGCTTGGTTTTAAATGCTGAGTTTCTCCAATGATACAGATAGTCATTTTGACTCCTATGAATTCCACAATATTTCTTATTATAGAGAAATAAAAAATGACTAATAATGACATATCAGGGCACTGTGGTGGTAAGTAATGAGTAAGGAGTTTTGCTTCAAACCTAAAAGTAACTGGTTTGAATGTCTGGGCTGCTCCTTAAGAGAAAGATGAGTAATCTCTGTTGAGGGAGAGGAAGACCTTCAACCAGATGTATTAACACAGTGACTGCTGCAATGGGCTAAAGTGCTTCAGAAATCATGAGGGTAGCGCAAGAAAAGACAGGGTTCAGATATGTTGGTCATAGGGTCGCTATAGACTGTACTCACCTCGACAGCACCCAAAAACAACAACAACAACAAAAACAACAAAAACAATATGTGATTTAAAGACTCTAAAACTTGGTAGAGGGTCAGTCATGAGTCAGTCCTGCCTTCATGGCAATAATATGACTTAATTTTGAGTCTTTTAACAAAATAGTATTATGTTCTTCTTGTCAATTGTCATCAAATGTGCTCCAACTCTGTGACTCCATATACAAAGCATTGCTCAGTCTTGCATTATCCTTTTAGTATCTACTGTGCTTTAGCCCGTTTGTTATAGCCATTGTATCAATCAAACTGTCTTTCAGCAAAAACTGGCCCCTCCTAAACTATGCTCAAGGTATGTGTGACTAATTCTACACACCTTTTCTAATAAGGGCATTCTAGCTGTGCTTCTTTGTAGTGTTATCTGTTTGTTCCTTTGATGGTTCATGGTATATTTTTTTTACTTGAGATTTAATGAAAATTTATAGGGAACTTGGACTTCCCTTCATTCATTGCTGCATTTTCCTCTTTGCCCACCCCACCCCAATTAATTTTTCTCTTTGAAAAAAAAAATTCTTACATTGTTGTGCAATCTCCCCCTGCACCTCCCCCACAGTCCACTTTACTATGCAGCTCTTATTCCGGACTGTTGTCATGAATTTAATACCTAATCATATATTCCTTTTAATGCTCTTGACAAAATATTTTAAGGCATTAATTCCTTTTTCGTCTTCATTATCCATTGTCCAACTTTCACTGAAAAAATATGACAGTATAGCGTTCTTTTGCAGATTTGATTGATATATTCTTTGGTTCCTTGACTGCTGCTTTTGTGGGGGTTGATTGTGGATCAGAGTAAAATTAAATCCTTGACAAAGTACATTTTTTTCTGCCCTTTATTATGATTTTCTTTATTGGTCCAGTGGTGAGAATTTTCGTTTTCATTTGTTGAGGGGTAATATGCAAAATTATAGTTGTAAGAAACTATATTGTCATCACAAAGGCACACAGTTTGAATCCAACAGCTGCTCCATGAAAGAACTGGCAATTTCCTCCTGTGTGATTTGCTGCCTCTGAAAACTCACTGGAGGGTCAGCTATGAGTTGTTTCCAACTGTACTGAACATAATAATAATAACATAATCTTTATTACTGATACTTTGTCAGTAAGTACTTCAAGGTTTCTTTGTTTTATACAAGAAAGACAGTGTATATTGGAGACTGTTAATGAATTATCTTCCAAAATCGATGCAGAATTGATATAATTCAGTTTTGCAAATCATTTTCTCAGCATACAAATTGAAGAGCTACTGTGAAATGATACAGTACTGATACACATCTTTTCTAATTTTAAAATATGCAGCATCTCTTTGTTGTGTTTGAACAAGTGTATATTTATCTGTGTACAGTTTGTGAACCAATAGAAAGTGTTTAGAATTCCTATTATTCACAATGTTATGTATGATTTGTTCTGAGCCACATAATTCTTGACAGTGTCAATAAAACACAAGTAAACTGCTTTCAACCAAGATCCATCTGATGCCAGTGATGGTATTTCTTGATTTAAGTTCTTTTCTGAATCCAGGTTAAATTTCTGGAAGTTCCCTAACTAATTATTGGGGAATTCTTTTCAGTAATATTTTACTTGGGTGTGATACTAATGATGTTGTTGTTGTTAGGTGTCTTTGAGTCAGCTATGACTAATGGTGGCCATATGAAAAACAGATTAAATCCTTGCCCTAGGCTGCATCATCTTTAAAATTTGTTTCCTGTGCAAGTTTCTAAATAATATCTCATACTTTTTACTGTTTAGCAAAATCGCAGAAATTGAAAACAACATTCCTCAGACATCAAATATGTGATTTTGAAAATCAAGGTTAATGAAAACACATGTATTACAAAAATGTAAACATGACTATACTTTTGTGTGGCAATTTAAAGTAATTTTTAAAAAAATTATTTTGGGTTCTTCCATTTGCTAAAGTTCTAGGTGGGCAGCAACAAAGAGAGGCTCTAATACAGTATGTATGGAAATGCTTATTTGAAACAAAAATAATAGATTCTAAATATTCACATTAGCACTTGAACATATGTTTAGGTTTCATTTATACTCGGTTACAAATAAATTATAGTTTGTTTCTTAGCTATTCATACACACACACACACACAGAGTTTATTTTGCTCCCTTGTTAACTAAAGTTTGTGTTTCCCTTTGTTTTTAAATAAATGTAGTAATATAATTTGTGTTGGAATAGAAAGATTTTAAATTTTAACTCCAGAACTGTCAGTTAAATTAATTTGAAATCTGTTGCATTGCAAGAGCCGTGTTGTATATGAATTTATTATATCGTTGTTGTTAGCTGAAGCTGAGTAAGTGGATCCTGTGTACAATGATCCCATCCTATATTTACAATTCTTTCAAGCCTTTTGCTGTAGTCACTGTATCAATTTCCTCAGTTGTTGTTCTTAGGTACTGTAGTGTCAAGTATGACTGACTCATGACCAACAAGCAACTCTATGAACAAAAGACCTGTTCTGTGACATCCTTATCATCTCTGACACACTTGAGCCCGACGGTCTTTCTCTCTTATGCTGACCCTCCACATTTTCAAGCATTCCTTTCCAAGGAATAGCTTCTCCTAGCTACATGCCCCAAGTATGAGAGATGAAACTCCTTCCATTCAAGGAGTACTCTCAGTTAACTTTTTCCAAGACATAACTGTTTGTTCTTTTGGTAGCCCATGGATTCCATACAATACCACAACTCAAAGGCATCAGGTTTTTTATCATCTGTACTCACTGTCCAGCTCTCAGAAGTGTAGTTAGCAATTGAAACAACCATGAAATGATCCAGGTACTCTTTAATTTTCATACTGACATCATTGTTCTTCAGTATTTTAGAGAGATCCCTGGTAGCAGACTTGCCCAATGAAATATGTCTCCTATTCTGACAGCTGGTACCAAGGTTGTTGAATGTTGATCTAAGCAAGGTGAAATCATTGACAAAATCAATCCTTTCTCCATCTATAACAATGGTGCCTATTGACCCAGTTGTGAGGATTTTATGTTTCTGATGTTGAGATGTAATCCATATTGAAAGCTATAATCCTTCATCTTTTGCAGCAAACATTTCAACTCCTCCTCATGTTCAGTGAGCAATGTTATATCATCTGTGTACTGGAGGTGGTTGATGAGTCTTCCTCAGATCCTGATGCTCTTTCTTCTTCATAGAGTCCAGACTGATGAACTATTTGCTCAGCATATAGATTGGCTCCATATAGGTATGGAGAAAGGATACATCCCTGACATACACTTTTCCTGACTTTAAATCTTTGCTCCATTTGAACAAGAGCTTCTGGGTCAAATAAGGATCTCCTTTTTCACTGATCTACTTTCTCAAATACGGTGTCTTTCTCCAGGGATGGGTCTTTATAACATACCAAAAATATGTGAGACCTAGTGTCACTGGTTTCCCTTCTAAAAAGGAAATGCGTTTCTTAGTGGCAAGTTTGTTCTTCATTTTTTTTATATTCATTTTTTCCACTTTATTTTTATTTTCTATTTGTTGGAATAAAAATTTGTATACACTATGCATCATTCATGTACATGGTGTTTAACATAATCCTACATTAACACTGTGTTCCAAAGAGTCTTCTTACAAAATAGGTCAGGTTATTCTTTTAACAGTCTTTTAACATATTTGATGTTCTTCAACAACACCAGAATTATTCTTTGGTCTCCCGTGTTTATTGTCCAACTTTCACATGCATATGATGTGACTGAAAATATTTCTCCTTGGGTCAAGTTGTTGTTGTTGTTAGGTGCCGTCAAGTCGCTCACTACTCATAGCGACCCTATGTACAACAGCCCTAAACCCTACTCTATCCTGTGCTAATTGCACTGCCTCTGACACACCTATTCCGATTACCCCAGTCACTGAATCAATCCACCTCACAGAGTGTCTTCCCCTCCTATGCTGTCCCTCCACCCTCCCAAGCATGATGTCCCTCTCCAAGGACCTCCTTACAACATGTCCAAAGTATGTCACACGAAGCCCCAGAATCCTTGCCTCCAAGGAGCAGCGTGGGTTAACCCTCTCCAGGATGAATCAGTTTCTTTTCTTGGCAGTCCATGGTACATTCGGTAATTTTCTCCAGCACCACAGCTCGAAGACATCAATTCTCCTTCTGTCCTCCCTTAGACGTTGTCCAACTCCCTGACACATAGCAAGTGATTGCAAAAACCACAGCCTGTATCAGACGCATCTTAGTCTCCAGAGTGACACCATCACTTTCCCATCGCAATACATTTTTTTGATTCCCTGGCTGCTGGTGCCAAGAGTGTTGACTGTGAAGTCAAGCAAATTAAAGATGTTAACAATCTCAGTCTCTTCACCATCCATCCTGATGCTGCCAATTGGTCTGGTGGCAAGAATCTTTGTCTCCTTAACATTGAGCCTCAATCCATGTTGGAGGCTGCAGTCCTTGACCCTCTGCAGCAATTGCATCAGGTCCTCCTCTGTTTCAGCAAGCAGGCTGGTGTCATCTGCATAACGCAGATTATTAATAGATCTTCCACCAATCCTGATGCCACACTTCTCCTCATAGAGCCCAGTCTCTTGGATAATCTGTTCTGCATACAGGTTGAAAAGGTATGGATAGGACACATCCCTGGTATACACCTTTCCCAATTTTGAAAGATGCAGTGTTTCCCTGCTGTTCTGATGACTGCCTCTTGGTCCAAGTATAGGTTTCTCATTAGCATGATCAAGTGTTCTTGGATTCCCATTCTTCTCAGAGTCAACCACAGTGTGTTATGATCCACACAGTCAAATAACTTTGCAGTCAAATGCCTTTGCATAATCAATGAAACACAGATAGACATTTCTCTGGTATTCCCTGCTATCAGCTAATATCCATCTAACATCAGCTACATTATCCCTAGTACCATGACCCCTTCAAAACCCAGCCTCGACTTCTGGCAGTTCTCTGCTGATGTGCTGTTCCAGTCATTTTTGGATAATCTTCAGTAGAATCTTGCTTGCATGTGAAATCAATGATATTGTTGTACAGTTTCCACACTCTGTTGGGTCACCCTTCTTTGGAATGGGAACAAAGATCTCTTCCAGTCAGTTGGCCAAGTGGTTTTTCAGGGTCAGGTACAGTTTATATATTCTTGCACTTTAGCACCTCTCCAAAGCACTAGAGAAATGGTGTCATTCTGGAGATTAAGGAGTGCCTGATACAGCCATGGTGTTTGCAATCACTTGTTATGCATCACAGAGTTGGACAATGACTAGAGAGGATAGAAAGAGAACTGATGCCTTTGAGCTGTGGTGCTGGAGAAGAGTATTCTATATACAATGGACTGCTAAGAAAACAAACAGGTTCATCCTGGAGAAGGTTAAACCAGGCTGCTCCTTGGAGGAAAGGATTAGGAGGCTTTGTTTGACATACTTTGGACATGTTCAAGGAGGGACCAGTCCTTGGAGAGGAACATCATGCTTAGTAGGGTGGAGGGACAGAGGAAGAGGGGAAGATCCTCTATGAGGTGGATCGATCCAGTGACAGGGATAATTGGGTAGGTTTGTGGGAGACAGTGAGTTTGGCACAGGACAGAGCAGGGTTTCGGGCTGTTGTACACAGGGACACTGACACTATGAGTTGCAAGCGACTCGACAGCACATAACATCATTATAAATTTCATAATCTAGAATTATGATATTTATCACTATAAATTTCATAACCTAGAAAACTATCCATAGGTATTCATATGGAATGATAAAACAGTAAATATTAGCATGAGAAATAAATATTTTATAAATATTTTAACAAATTAGATTAATACAGGGAAATCTGGTAATCTGTGGAAAGTAGAGGTATGAATCCAAAGACCACACCCTTCTGTTGGGTGGCATCCACTAGTGACTCCCTAGGAGAAAGGTGTCCAAATTATGTATGTGTATATACACATATATACACACACACACACACACACACACACACACACAATGTTATGTGCTGCGGAGTTGTTTTTTCCTCATAGCGATGCTATGTACAACTTGTTATATGTAGATGACACAATCTTACTTGCCCGAAGCAGAAAAAAACCTGAAGCATTTTGCTGTAGAAGGTGATGTACTGTAGTCTACAATGTAAATTAAAGGTCTACATCAAGAAGACAAAAATTGTGTCCACTGGACCTACTGGTAGCACCATGAAAGAGGGAGAAGAGATTGAGGATGAAATGCATTGGGAAGTCATCTGTCAGTGTCCTCTCCATAGTGCTAAAGAGAAATTATATAAATCTAGAGACTAAGATGCCTCTGATTCGTGTCATGGTACTTGCATTTACATGCTATGCATCAGAGAGCTGGACAATGATTAAGAATTACAGAAGAGATGCAACCACTATGGAAGGCGATATGGCGTTTTCCCAAAAAGTTGCAAATAGAGATACAATTTGACCCAGCAATTCCACTACTGGGAAAATACCCCAAAGAGACCATAACTGACATCCAAGCAGAAATACACACTCCCTTGTTTACCGCAGCTTTGTTCACAATAGCAAGGAGCTGGAAACAACCCAAGTGCCCATCAACAAATGATCTGAAAGAGAAGCTGTGGTATATTCACACAATGGAATACTACGCTGCATTGAAAAACAAGGAACTCATGCAATATTATTCAAAATGGGTGACCCTGGAGGACATTATGCTGAGTGAAATATCTCAGTCAAAAAAGGACAAATACTGTATGATGCCACTGTTGTAAAACAGGACTGACCTTGGGGTTGGGGGGAGACTGAGAAATATGTGTTTAATTATGTATACTACATTGAAACAGATGAGGGAGAAAACTGTTTAAAAGGGATATGTGGTTGGGTATCTTTGTCATGACGGGAGTCCAGAGGGAAGGCTGCATAGTGCAGTGGCCCTGGGAGGAGGGATTATAAAACAATGAAAGACTTTTTCTTTTACTTTTCCAAGAGGGTAGAGCACTGGGCGGGGGAGGGGGGGGGGATTGGGAGGGGAGAAAAGTGCAACAATGAATTAATGGAAAGCCAAAGTCTCTGTAAATTTTCATTAAAATTAATAATCAATTTTTTTTAAGAAAAGAATTACAGAAGAAGAATCAATGCCTTTGAGTTATGCTGGAAAAGAGTATTGAACATACCATGCACCACCAAGAGGACAAGCAGGTGTCTTGAAAAGGGTGAAACTAAGTTTCTCCTTGGCATATGGCCAGAAGAGCCAGTTCTTTGAGAAGCTTGCTTGGAAGCTTCACCTCATGCTTGGAAGGGTGGAAAGACAATGCAGGAGAGGAAGATCCCTGATAGGATTGACACAATAAGTAGGCTGATGAGGGTTGGTGTGTCAGAGTCAGTGAGACAGATTCAGGATAGAGCATGCTTCAGAACTATTGCACATACAGTTACTGAGTTGCAGAAAATACAATAGCACATAACAACAGTGACAACAACATATAAATTAAAATATATTTAAATTGGCCATCTTTCTGCTATGTAGTCACTGGTGGATTCTCAATGCCAGAGAGGTGTGGCCTTGGGTTAACAGCTCAACTCTCTACAGAATTGATGGGATACCAATTGTTACAACTAATGGATGCACCCTAGAAATTTACCAGGAAATGTAGATGACAGCAGCTTGGTCAAATGACTAGAACAGATCCATATTGATTCCCATACCCAAGAAGAGTGAGCCAAAAGAATTTAGAAATTATCACACAGTATTATTAATATTACATCCAAGCAAAATACTTCTGAAGATCATTTAAAAACAGAACAGTATACAGAGAAATGCCAGAAGTTTATCCTGGAGTTAAATGAGGTCATGGCACCAGAGATATCATTGCTTATGTCAGACAGACACAAATTAAAACAAAGAACACACGAAAATCTATATTTGTGCTTTTTTGACTATGCAAAGTCATTTGACTCTGTGGATCATAACAAATTGTTGCTAACATTGAGAAGAATTGGAATGCAAGAACAGTTAACTGTGTTCATGTGAAACCTGTACCTACACCAAGAGGATATCATGTGAAAAGAGCAAAGGAATACTACATGGTGTAAAATTTAAAAAGATATGCATCAGGGTGGCACACTCTCTCCATATGAGAAAATTATTCAAGAACCTGGACTCTACAAAGAAGAATATGGCACAAGATCAGAGGATGATTCATCAATAAATTGTCACTCAGATGCTGCTGCTTGATGGTGAGGAGGACTTGAAACATTTGCTGATAAAGATCAAAAAATATATATGGATTGCATCTCAAGGTCAAAAAACCAAAAATTCTCACCACTAAACTGTAGACAACATCATGCCTGTCAGTGACACCATCTTACTTGAATCCACAATCAACACCCTTGGCACCAGCAGCCAGGACAGGCAGGAAACTTTCCAAATTATTGAGGGGAAATGATGTGACTTTGAATGATGTCATATGGTTTCAGACCGTGGCCTTTTCAATCACTTGCTATACATCTGAGCTGGAAAATGAATAAGTATGACAGAAGAAGAATTGATCTCTTTGAGTGTGGTGTTGAAGAAGAGTATTGAGTATCTAACAGTCTACCAAAAGAACAAACAGATAATGTCTTAGAGAGGATGCAGGCAGAGTGCTCCTTGGAGGAAAAGACAACAACGCTTCATTTCACATACTTTGGCAATAGACGTAAGGTTTGGAAAGGCAGAGGGCAGGTTAAAGAGAGGAAGACCTTCCACCAAATGGATTGTTATAACTGCAGTAATGGGCTCAAGTGTGTCAGAGATGCTGTAGATGGTACAGGATAGGTCAGGGTTCAAATCTGTTGTTCACAGATTATCTATGAGTCACACTCCACTCAATGGTACTTAACAATAAGATGTGTGTATGTGTGTGTGTGTGTTGTTGTTTTTGTTATTGTTGTTGCTGCTAGGTGCCACTGAGTTGTGGACAACTCATAGTTACCCCATGAATGAAAGACCTGAACACTTTTAAAACTCTCATCATTTCTCCAAGTTCGTAGAGTTTCCAGAGGCAAGCCATTTTGGAAGTGGATGCTACTCCTGCAAGGCTGTTTTAATGGGGGAGTTCCACCAAACACTGCCTACCATGCATAACCATTATCACATTTGACACATCAGTGTCACAGTGTTTAGCATCACATCAACCACGAGTTACCTCTGTACAGCAAATGGACAGACCAGTGATATACAACAACATTTATATTTATTATGTAAGAGTACTGAATATACCATGGACTGCTAGGAGAACAAACTTCTAGGTTCATGCAAGAGAGGGTGAAAACAGGCTGCTCCTTGGAGACAAGGATTCTGAGGCTTCATCTGACATATGCTGGGCATGTTGCAAGAAGGGAGCAGAGCTTGGAGAGGGACAACATACTTGGGAAGGCAGAAGAAAAGAGCAAGAGAGGAAGACCCTTGATGAGATGGATTGAGTGACTGGACAATTGGGGGTAGGTGTGGCAGAGACAATAAGGTTGGCTCAGGATAGAGCTGTTATACAGTGTTGCTATGAGTCACAAGCAACTCGATGGCACATAACAACAAAACTAATTATAATATATATTTAAGTATTAAATATATAATCATATATGTTGTCGTTACGTGTCATCAAGAGTAACTCATAGTAACCCTATGAACAAAAAGATCTGAACCTTCTTCTATCCCACACCATCCTCATACATCTTGACATACAAGAGCCCATTGCTGCAGTCACTGGTTCAATCCACCTGGTTGAGGGTCTTCCTCTCCTTCACTGATCCTCCCCCATTCCTAGCATCATGCCCCTTTCCAGGGAACATACCCAAACTATGTGAGGTGAAGTCTCATCTTTCATGCCTCTGTTCAGTATTTCAGTACTATACTTTGCCACACCCACAGGTGGAAAAGGCCCAAGGCTGGGACAAGTTTGTTCCTGGGAAAGCGCCATACTGCTTTCCACAGGGGTTGCACCATTTTACACTCCCACCAACAGTGAATCGGGGTTCCAGTTTCTCCACAACCTTGCCAGCATTTGTTGCTTGCTGTTCTGTTAAATTTTGCTAT